CATGACTATCACATGACTTACAATCCGACTTTGCTGTTTTCATTTCGTCATCATGTCTATTCGTGGCATACTTCTTCCTGAAGATGAGCAAGCTCAGATCAAGGCTTCTGCATGATAATGAACGTTCCAATCTAGAAATCGCACGATAACTTGGTCGTTCTCCTTAATGCATTGAAGATTTATCCGGCACCCTGATAATTATACTCAGCACACACTCCGCTCCATCCACGATCCTTGACTGCTCAGAACAACAAAAGAGTAGCCCACATCCTGTCGAATTCTTCATTGACAGTCCGAGCTCAGATTTTTATTCCAGCCTTGAAAATGACCACTAAGCCCCTCATCCGCTCAAATGAATACACCACTCGACAGACGCTGAGAAAGGCTACTCACTTCAAGGCCCAGCACAAGTTAGCCACATTGGAGTCTGCTCGTACAAACATGGCAACATAGGATAGGACACGGGGTAAGACACGGTTTTTCGAGAATTTCCTATTTTCAAAACAAGCAACTTTTTATGGACTTTTCTCCTCAGGTAATCTTAACTCATGGAAAGAGTTCGATCTTGACGGGCCGGGTGGATTTTGCTACTACTGGAGAGGCTTGGCCGTGAGTCGCTCGTGCTCTCGAGAAGGAATTTCGGAAGAGGCCCGTTGATGGGTCTGCGGCGGTTTCGCAAGCAGCGGAAATTGGAAGTTGCCGTTCCATTATTGCGTATGAACTGTAAAGAATACCAAGCAGTGCTCCAATGTCACCTGTTGCCTTTTCTTAGCGAAGCGGAGCGAAAATTGCATTTTTAGCAACAGGACCACGTGTCTTTCGATGCTTCGCAATCTACCAAAGAATGGCCTTAACCAAATGGTGCTGAAGCGATAGATTGGCTTGTGTGTCCTCCTTACTGCAACCCTATAGGGAGCCCTTGATCAAGGCGTTAACTTTAGCAACCGGCAGTATAATACCGCGGATGAACTGAAGGCGGCGGTAGAGGCTATTTGGGCCGACAGCGACGAAACAGCTATGCCAAACGTGGTTCAGATTATGCCGGACAGGATGTTTGAGCTAATTAGAAACTCTGGAGGCCCCACTGATTTCTAATCTCAGCTATGTTTTTGTCTTTTGTTAAGTGTGCACATACTTTTGAAACAAAGAAAAAAATTTCATCCAAAATTTTTTTTCGAAAGTGAGGCGATATTATCTGCTTTGCTTCCATTGATAGGTTATCGACTACGAGAAATCGATTGAGAAGGATTTCATAGCACGAAACCTCATGGTTCCTTTCAAACGTGAATTTTGAGGGTGTGCACATACTTTTGAAACGCACTGTATCAGGCCATCATAGAAAACTGGAAATGGAAGTCCCCCGGGAGGTTGGCCGTGGTATGACAGAGACATAGCGTTGCGAGGAAATGGAAAACGAGAGAGTACGTCGTACGCGAGAGGGCGCAGACACAAATACCGCGATTAATAAGGACGGCAGCACGGCAGCACAGCCTTGCCGCGGTTGCCTCGCCCTTTTGAGTCGCGACAATGCCGTGCCTCCTGCGCTTGGCGACCCCTGGTTCTGACTCTGGAAGGACTGGCTTTGAGACCTGAACCTGACTAGCGGCTTTAAAGAAGAAATTGGGGGATCTAAATCTTGCTACTGGTAGAGAACCAAAAAATTGGCGTCGCAAAAATCCGGAAACAGTGAGAAAGCGAAAAGGTTCAATTGTGAGCAAATCAATGAACAAATTCGCTTCCTTTGACCATTCCACTGTACGTACTCACTGTGCGCACCATTGAAAAAAAGCGAAAT